GGCTGTGGCGGGCCGGCCTGTCGAGGCGGTTCTGAGAAGTCACGTTTGTTCGAGCTTATAGTTTGCGGGGAGCTGGCATTTGCACCCAGTCAGACTCCACGCCGGCGGGCTTAACCATGAGATTACTGCTTTTCCAAAACAACGAAAAGCTTCAGATCACCCCGGGATGGGGGGGTGGGGGGAGTGGCGCTAGCTATCTACACTGTATTGTGAACAGAGCTAGAAACACAGGCACCAAGAACAACGCATTCATCTAAAAGGGTACAGAGAGCCTGGCGGGGTGCTCAGTTGGCTGGAGCATTGTCCTGTGCACTGGTATTTCTCTCCCCCCCCCCCCCCCCCTTCCTCTCTCTCAAGTCAATAAACATATCCTCAGGTGAGGATTTTAAAAATAAAATAAATAAGATAAATACATAACATCGAAGGAGCCAGAGAGAAGTGTGTGGTGAGGCTGGCCCTGTTTCACCAGGCACATTACAGGTCACCCTGTTGTCCCCTGCTGTGCTCCTCAGGCGGCTCTGCCGTGCACGTGTGTGCCATATTCTCGTATTAACCCCTCTACAGCCATGAGCTACATGCACACGATGTGTCTCTCATTTGTGTCTGTACGAACACATTCCCTGCAATGGCCTCTGCGTTCTCAGTGGATGCTGGTTAAAGAACGAGTGCAGCAATAAAGGAGTGAATGTACCAGTGGTGGGCGGTCCACACAGAACGTGGTGGGTAAAGCGGACCCCAGCGAGCTGGACTCCTTCCATGGAGACTTGAATATGAAGGGTTCAAACTTCTCCATCAGCTGCACTCACCCCGCCAAACCTCGCAGGTCTAAGTTAAACAGGAAGCAAGCCCCGAGCAAACCTTGTCACCACCACCAATCAGCTCGCTTCTTCTAATCCCCTCAATTATAGCATCTCTAGAGCTGCCCCTGGGAGGGTCGGATTCCAGGGAAAGAAATGGATGGGTGGGCCTGGGCACTGAGGAGCCAACAGGTGGGAAAGCAGGTTCACTCTGGGCCCGGGAGGGCTCCCGGAGGTCTTCCGGGTGAAGGGCTGGTCTTCTTGAACATCGGAAGCTGGGGGAACCACATCCTGGTCTCACCCACCCACCCTGGCTTTGCAGACACCTAGGCCTCCACTCCCCCTCTAACACTTAAGCCACCTCCTGTGACCCAGATCTCACCGTCCGCAGAAGCCTCTGTCCTCAGCCATGCCTTCCATGCCCAAGGTGCCAGGAGGCGGAGGTCCCTGGCAGGTGACGTGTGAGTCCTGTGTGTCCTAGAAAGTCCACCGGCATTTGGGGACCAAGGCCTGCTCAGCGAGGTCGTTCCTCCTGGGCCAGCCTGGCTGCTCAGGTCCCCTCGTCAGCTGGAATGCCCTCCCACATGGCCCGGACGCTGCTGCTCGCCTTCATCGTACTCCATCCAGGTGACGGGCTTCCTCCCGGGACCCTGAGGGGTGTGGGCCAGGAGGAGGGGCGGGGGAGGCTCGATAGAGATGTCTGGAGAGCAGGCTTGGTGGGGGCTGATGGGAGCCCTGACGGGAGATGACACCCGGAACTCCCCGCTCGGTTCCCTCCATGCTGCCTGCTGGCACGGTCACGGTCACGGTCACGCCCAGCTTCCACCCAGAGCGCCTTTCTTCCCAGCCACCTTCCTAATAAGATAAAGTTGAAAGAACCAGCAAAATTGGCTTGAAGTGGTCACTTTCTTTAAAGGGGTCAGTTTTAATTTGATGAGTTTATATCTTGGTGTAGATATAATTAGGAGTTTGGGAGACCTAATTAAATCTAAGTTCCTAGTGGAACTGATTTTAATTCACTGAGAGACCTTCCCTGTCAGACATATTCCTGGACTCAGACCTGTAGCTTCAGATCAGCCAGACCCCCTCCAGACCCACCAAATAAAAGTCTCCGGGGTGGGGCCCAGGGACCTGTTCAACAAAGACGCTAGGTGCTATCCATGAGTTCCCAAGTTTGAGAACCACTGAAATAGAAGAATGCCTGGTAAATTTCACTAACTCAAGAATTTAATCAGGGATTTCAAGAATGGGTTTAATTCATCAATTTCAATCAGTTAAGTGAGATCTCAATCAATGACAGCCAGGTCTTCACCTGGAGATTTAAGTACTTGATGCTCTTTAACAAAACACAAAGCAGCAAGGTGGTGGCTGCGGACCCACCAGCGGGCATAGTGCCTGGAGAGATGTGATCAATGACACCAGTTAACTGGCAGCCCATTCGCCAGTGAGCTCCCGTGTCACTGTTGCAGGGGAAGCTTCAGCAAGACGCTGCTGATGAGTGCAGCTGGAACACAATGAGAGGCAGGGTGAGGGTTGGTATAGGAAAGAATTAGAAAAGGGTTTAATAAGCAGTATTAACTATTAGATTGGTAAGGGGTTAACGAGGCACCCACAAGCTGGGACAGTCCACGGTGAGCTCTCTTGTCTTTTCTCCTCGGGTGGGTTATCGGGGGAGGCGTTTACCTGGGTCTTCTCTCTGCCCCTAGGATCCTGTGCTCTCTGGGTGTCCCAGCCCCCTGAGGTTCATGCCCAGGAGGGTGCCGCTGCCCTCGTGCCCTGCTCCTTCAATGCCAGCCAAGGGACACTGGCCATTGGCTCTGTCACATGGTATCGGGACATGGTGGCCCCGGGGAAGGAAGTGAGGAATGGGACCCCAGAGTTCAGGGGCCGCCTGGCCCCTCTTGCCTCTTCCCGCTTCCTCTGTGACCACCAGGCGGAGCTGCACATCTGGGATACCCGAGGCCCAGACGCCGGCGTCTACGTGTGCCAGGTGGAGGTGCTGGGCCTGGGTGTCGGGACAGGGAACGGGACTCTGCTGGTGGTGGAGAAAGGTGAGGCCCCCCCCTTGGCTGGAGGCTCCACTCTCCCTGAAGTTGAGAGTCCTTCCCCGAGGCGCCCGCTGCTGTCCCTCCCGCGGCACACACCTCTTCCCCAGTCCCCTGACCAAGCCCTTCTCCACCACCCACATGCAGGACCTCCTGGGCCAGGGCCCCTCGCGGCCCTCCTCCTTCGGGCTGGATTCTATGCCTTCAGCTTTCTCTCCGTGGCCATGGGCAGCACCATCTATTACCAAGGCAAGTGTGCGTCGTGGAGCCATGACAATGGCCTAAGAGAAGGTGGAGCAGCGAGCGTGCTGGAGGGGGGAGACAGAGGCCAAGGCGAGAGGAGCCTCGCAGCACCAGGGACTCGGCCACCTCCCTGCCAGGCCACTGCCACCTGGGGACACTGCCGCCTCTTGGATGCCTCTGATGAGTGATTCCAGACCCCAGTGACCCCAGCACTCTTCAGGAGACCCCAATAAATCGGCCCCACCACGAACTTCCAGTGAGCCTCTGTGTTTCCTTCCCGTCCCCCAACACCACAGTGTGCCCCTCTCCGGGTTCTCCCTTCTGCTACGCCTGGCCTAGGAATGTCCAAGGAGGGAGCTTCCCAGCAATTGTGCCTGGAGGACCCCCCTCCCCCCAGCCTGGGGCTCAACAGGAAGTGACCCAGCTCTCCCAGCCCAGGAGGCGGAGAAATGAGGGATATCAAATCTGATTGGTCCAATTGTCAACTGCCCACAGACAAAGACAATAGTCTCCCCCCATGGGGGGTATCTTCCAAGACTCCTCATGGATGCCTGAGACCATGGACGGAGCTGAGCCCTCTATATACTGTGGTTTTTTCCTGTACATACATGCCTATGATGAAGTTTAATTTATAAATTAGGCATGGTAAGAGATTAACAACGATGATAAAATAGGACCATTATAACAATATCCTATATAATAAAAGCCTAATATGCAAATTGTCCCCTTGACCGGGAGTTGGACCAGGAGTTCTACTGCTTGCTATGACATGTGCTGACCACCAGGGAATGGCGTGGAACATGGCGGGCAGCGGGCGGCAGCGGAGGTGCTGCTGGCCCCAATGAGCCCAGACAACAGTGGGATGCAGCAGGATGGTGGAGCAGGTGAGCGGGTGGCGCCAGGCCAAGGTGGGTGTGAGTGGGGCCCCATCGCCCTGTAGATGGCGACCAGCGGCTGTGGTGGTGAGGCCGCTGCCTGGCTCCCAAGTGCTGAGAGAGTCGGGCGGGGGTCCGATGACTCAGGCAGAGGGGGGTGCTCGGGGCCCTGGGGGCTCAGGTGCTGCCCAGGGCCCAGAGGTCAGCTGGGACCTGCCCTTCCACACCAGACACTCAGGCTTCGATTGCCAGCCAGGCCTAGGGACCACACCTGAGCACGAATTTCATGCACCAAGTCTCTAGTACTATAATATAAATGATGTGACTGTGGTTTCTCTCTCTCTCAAGATATCTTATTTTCCTATACTCACCCTGCTTCCTGTGACATGAAAGGATACAGTGCCTGCCTGTGAGGTGAATGACATGGGCACTGGCCTGCCATAGGGTGACGTGAACACAAGCGCAGTGACACCTCGACTGCCGACCTTGCAACCTGGCTGGCTACTAAGTGATTAGGCCAGTAGCATATCCAGGGTGGGTTCGCTGGACAAAGAGAAGCCAGGCCCCGGGCAGGATGGAGCGGGATAGAGATTTCATCACGCTGCTCAGAATGGTGCGCAATTTAAAACTTAGGAATTGTTTATTTCTGGAATTTTCCGTTTACTATTTTCTGACTAGGGGTAACTGGACCAGTGTTTCCACTGTTTCAAAGTGAAACCGTGGGTGAGGGGGGACTACTGTATTCTTTTCGAGCCTTCAGGGGAGCTTGGGTCCCTAGACACCCTTCTTTAGCCAAGAAATCACTACTTGACCCCAGAGTGGGTGGGAAGGGATTTGGTGGTGGCAGTGCTGAGGGGCTTGAGATGGATTGAGAACTCTGAGACACAGGAAGTTTGAGACCAAGGTGTTTACTGGGTGAGCCACAGGATGCACTAGGGCTGGGGGCAGGTGCTCAGGTGGGCTTCTTGTCAGCAACGCAGGTGTAGTCGGTGCCGGGGTCCTGCAAGGAGTCTTCCCTTTCCTGGTGGCCATGGCCAGGCGGCTCCCTGCAGGGCAGCCGCTGCAGAGATGCGTAGTGGAGCTCCTGCTCCTGCTCCTGCTCGGGGAGCTGGGCCTGGGCCTGGGCCGGGCGGGCACACAGGCTGGCAGGGGTCACAGGGCCTCTCCCATCCTTCCCTCTGAGCCCCCGCCCCGCCCCACCCCACCCCACCCCAC